TAAACCGGGGTGTTTACCCTCGGACGGTTCACCGTAGCCAGACTGAAATAGATCAGCGCTGTTGGAACGGATTACGCAAGTTCAAGGGGATAATCTCTCACTGCAGGATTGATGACCCGGTTTAAACCAATTCCCATGAAAATGCAATTAAACGCTGAAATAACTTATTTTTATTTTTTTGAGTTGTGATCAACTGTTATACATCTAAGAGCTTTAATATGTTTGTTGTTTGTAAACAAAATCAATCCTTTTTATTTCTTTTCAATTTTTACAAATCATATACAATTACTTTTTCAAATTTGGAACTTCTTTCTCTATTGTATAATTTGGAAGGTAAGAAGGTTTTTTTGTTATATTTTAACACGCGACCTTAATTTTCAATCGATCTGATCACACTATAAAATTCTCTATAGAAATTAGTTCAAAAAATAGATAATGGCAATCTCTCGAGTGCAACGGCCTAATAGGAAAGAAACAAATAAAATTAACGACATGTTTGGACGTTCACCAAACCTTTTGCTGAGTTTAACGAACTGTATTATTTGCCGTGTGCATTATATCGCCGAAAATACCAACACCCGAAACACTCGTAACATTGCAAAACTGCCAAAAAAACGACCCGAATTCGTTTACCAAGTTAGTATACACAAATTTCACCTTTTCCCCTTTTTTTCAATTAGGCTTAACATTTCATCTTAACGGGCTAGCAATCCTTGGATAAATATTTATTCATTTTTTAAATCGGATAGTCTTAATAGAATAGCGGCGATCTTTGTGTTATTTTGGGACTTGATTCAAGATTCAAGGACGGTCGCGTCTTGAGATTCCGTTGTACTTGTCACATTTTACTTTTAACAAATTGTTTATGCAAGGCTTCCTTTGACGTATGATATGTTGGATATTTCGACGGACTTTCATCATAAATCTACTGGCCCACTTTCAATGGTCTAAATTTGTCGAGCACACATACAAGATAAAATTGGAAAGATAGAAAATACAGAGAGAGAGAGAGAGAGAGAGAGAGAGAAAGGTAGATAGAGTGTGAGAAAGTATTAGAGTGGTAATGGAAAAGAAACTATAAGTAGATGTATGGATCATAATTGTAGATAAATGGAGAAAAATAAGATGTACTGGGCATTGTCTTGTTACTGGTTACAACTCCAGAGATAGCCAGATAGACAGATAGATAGGTAGATAGAGATAGGTAGATAACGATGTTTTCTTATATTTCGACCTCAAAAGTTAATCTTGTGATTTTTCCTTCTTGAAGGTGGGATAATAGGTCATCTCAAAAAAACCACAACCAGTTTTTATCCACATCGTTTCGGATTTATTTTAATCCTTCCTCAGGTGAGGTAACGCAATGGTTAAAAAAAGTGGTCGTTGGTCATTAATATTTTATAACAGTTTATTTTAAAAAAGAGCCAGTGTGGTACTTATTCAGATTACGAATAAACTATATAAAAAAGTTGACCACTTTTTTAACCATTGCGTTAACTAACCTGAGGAAGGATAAAATAAATCCGAAACGTGTGGATAAAAACTGGTTATGGTTTTTGTGAGATGACCTATTATCCCACCTTCAAGAAGGAAAAATCACAAGATAGATAGGTAGATAGATAGATAGATATAGAGAGAGGGGGAGAGGGGGAGAGAGAGAGTTTAGATTTACGTTAATTTGTAACATTGGGTAAAATTTTATATAGTTTTATAGATTTAGAAAAGAATGAATTATAAAAAGTGGGTACGACACAACGGCATTTGAAATGCGATTTGAGAAACTATAAAAGCAATTTTTTTCCTTTAAAAGGAGAAACAATATAAAATAGGGATTATGGTTTTTGTATTGTGTTAGGCAAAATGTTAACCAATCGTCAAATTTTAAAATTGATAAATAAATTGTCAAATTAAAACAAATTTAAGAACCATAGTGAAGATTACAGATATAGCGAAAACACATATTTGGACAGTAGTACGCATAGAGTACATATAATGAGAGAGAGGGAGAATGAGTGAGAGAGAGAGAGAGAAAGAGTGAGAAAATTTGATACGAAGAGGCAAGAAAAATAATTCACAAACAGATAAAACGATACGTAGCCAGACAAATTGCTAAGTAAGAAAGAATGAAAAATAATAACATTCAAGTACTTATCCTTGGTTTTAAAAATGTTATTTGTCATGATAAACGGATATTAACTAATTTTCTTTAAATGTACATAACAAAATAACGTAAAAACCTTATGCCTAAAAAGTTATAATTTGAAAAAGGTAAAAAAAATAACTGACATAAAAATAAATATTTTTGACTAATTTGACAAAATGAATTGCAGTCTTTGAAAAATGTGATGTGATAAAGTGTTGTGGAATAGTTGTGACAATAAACATTTTTTTAAAATAAAGAAACTGGCGCATCTGTTAAACTGAGAGTGATTTTTAAATCTCCTGGCAACATTTATTAGAACATTTAGAACAAACGTGGTTTATTTCACCGAATCGTCCTCCAAACCGTTTGGCGCTATAAATTCTTGACCCAGATCGTTGGACCTCTGTGCAATTAATCCGATTTTCCTTTCTTAAAAATGTTTTGCCATGCGAAACAAAAACGAGAATCTATTTGTTCTTTAATTTTATCAATCGCGGACGGTTCATTTTGGAAAAACGGGCCGGTTGTTTCCAGGCGGCTGGGGCGTTGTTTACTCCACCCCCAGGGATAAGATGGATGGCTTTTGTTGTTGCTGGTCCATCATTCAATCGAAGGAGGCTTTTCAAGTTTCGAAACTCTTCTCTTTTACTAGTTGTGAAGTCGACATCAATTTTCACTTCAGCTAGGCCAAAATTTGGAAGGATTATTTCTTCATCGAACTTCATTCAATCTTTACAAGACTTCAAAGTTATAAGATAAAAATGGCTGCTAGGGGGATAGTTGGATTGACTCAAGCTTTAAACTTTCTATATACCCAGAGTCAATAAATAGAAAAGAACAATTAGTCCGGTTCTTCTAAACTCTTGTTAGCCCCTAGCACCTTGGTCCTAACCTCGGTGGTTCTATCAGACTTATTACCCCTTATTCAATGTTTGGACTGTGTCTTATTCAATCAGTCGAGTCTTTTTTTCTTTTTTCTTGTAAATTTACGTTTAAATTGCTTTTCTATTTATGGAAAATGGTGGAAATCAGAATCTCAGCAAACCATCAGGAATGTTCAAAAATACAGACAAGAAACGTTTACAGGTCGAGAAATGAACATACTTGAAAAATAAGAAAACCGACAAGACATTAAAAAGCCTATGCTTAGTCCAGTAAAGGCATCGAGAAACGACGGTAACGCCACAACGCTGACACACGCACCCCCACTCATCAATTTTTTACAATAGAGACTTGACTTTACAAAAATCACACAGACAACACGAAAGAAGGCGAAGACCTAAAGGAATTTTCGGTATCGAATAAGCAGACTGTCTATAGGAGGATCTGAAAGTCCAACTGTATGTCCAGAACATTATTGGGATAGCAAGATCAACTCTTCCATTGTTAGGCCTCACTCTTCAATTTCGGATGTACCGTGACACCATCTCGGAATGATTCCACACAAAGAAGAGGAATGAACGTGCGCCAGACCTAGTAAAATCACGATGAAGGTTAAGGGGTAAAAAGAATCGGTCATTTAGCTACTAGCCATTTTAAGCCTTTTTACCAGATAACAAAGCTTTCTTAAGGGCTATACATCCTTCTGGATTTGGCTTTTCCTCTCCCAGGAGGAATCTCAGCCATGGGCCTTTCCATTAAGAGGACTTGCTCCGCAGTTTATTTTTTGTACTAGCTCCATCATAGAAGCGTTTAGGTCACATTACCCATCTTGTTTTAAAGAGATTAAAATCGGCGTCCCCCCAAGTCATTTCTTTCATTGTACTTACTTTATGCCGCAGTCTATCCTAAATTAGAAACCGATCTCCAAGTGCAATGTCTTCAAAAACTAATCTTGATCAATTTTCGAAACGAATGGAATATTAAAGGAATGACTTGGTAAAGGTTAAGGTGAAGGTTAAAGAGCCTGTTTACGACCTCTTTCCTCATTTCTATTTCTTTCTTCTTCTAGGGGTAAGAATCGCAGCCTATATAGGCATTCGCACCAACAGAGTACTTGTTTTGTTGTTTCCTCTTATTGGCAATACCTTTACAGGCTTGTTTCTGATGCTCCCAACTCCGGAGTCCGCATTATCCAGCCAGCAGTATTAAGCTTATTTTAGTCCTAACAATTGCAATGTCTAATAGTCCTTCCCTGGGTTAACCCTTAGAAACATTCCCATTGGACTGAGAACTTATTCTTAATTCCTTGTCTGATGGCTCTATGCTTTTGGCAATTTGATATGTGACAAAAGATTTTAGAACCGATTGCCTCTCTGCCCCAAACAAAAGGATTGATGTTAACGTCTCCAAACTATGGTAAAGCCGTGATGCAATCTCAAATTGCTCAGGAATTTAACCAATCAAGTAGAGCTCATGTTGAAAAAAACATCACCAAAACTGCCAAACATATTGCTACAGAGTTGGTACGGGTCCTACCTAGATTGGGTAAAACCGGGGAGTGATAGTTGTTTATACTTGCCACTGGCATCTGAGAAAACACCTGCACAACATGGACATATTCAATGAGCAACTCATTTGTAGGTTATGGGTGAGGAAGAAGAAGCAATCTAAATAACTGCTCATCATTGATATAACCGACAGTGCTCAGAACACCTGTGAGATATAAATGCAGCAATACATTCAAACCTTATGGAAAGAAAATCAAACGGGTTTAATTTAACTAGGTGACAAGAAAAATGTTCATTAAGGCACTCAAAGTTAGCAACAGGATGATCCAATTTTTTGATAGTCACTTTTAATCTGCATATTCTGTCTGATTTTGTCTCTCTGAATAGCTTCCTCATCTTGTATAGGTGGTTGTGTCGTCTATATATTACTTTTATTTTTCACGAAGTATGAAATTGTTATGGTATTCGTTTTAAACGAAAAACAAGCGAGACTAGACGGACCAAAAACTCCGCTAATACATCTCAGGCCCACTTGTTAGCGTTTTCTTAATAAATCAAAGAAGATAAATGTTAACGACTTCCTGGCCATGGACTCTAGAGAAGTTCATCGTTAGAAAAAAGAGATCCGCGAGCGTCAAAGTCGCGTTGGAGGGGGTTGAACGTCGGCCAAGGGTGGTCGGTCAGTCACGTTACAGCTCTAGTCATGGGAGGCACAGCCCGACAATATTTGGCATCGACGTCATGTAAGTCTTATATTCAAATCCATAAAACCCAGGAGGAATCCCGTAGGGCCAAAAGGGGGGGGGGGACGAACCATCGGGTTTGGTTTTTTTTTATAAAAATATTTCACTGACCGTTGATACTTTATTGGAGTACTTGATATAACGAGCGGCAGTCCTATAATTGAAAAATACTGCCATGGTTCTTGTTTATCGACGAAGTTCAAGTTGTGTTTCGGGGACCATTCGCCATAAAACACAGCCATTTTCCAATTACTCTCAATTTCAAACAAAACCACGTCCGTAAATACTACCATTAACATTTAAATTTTACAACTTCAGGGTTAATACAACTAGCTTAACTTTCATCTTTTATATTCGCGATGTCAGTTGAATATCAGAGGTTTTGTACATTAATAGAATGTTACAAGTGAAATTACTTTGTGAAGATAAGTCGATTCTTCAAAACACTTGTTGAACGTCTGTCTCATTGTGGATTCTGCACAAACGTTCAGAGATTTATAAACAATGGCAAAATCCTCAGAGAACCGAATAATTAAAAGGAATCTTCAAAACAATATAATATAATTATACTCTTTAAATGAATATTTTCCACATGTTCTAAAATATTACAAAATATCCTTCCTTTCAGTTGATTATTCTAGCTTTTACAGCCTTTAAAAGGCGTTTCTTTTATCTATTCATTCAAATTGTATTTCAGAAATAAATCGTCATAAATAAAATAAGAAATGTGATGATTTAAATAACAAATTATATACATACAATTTCCCACACAAAACGTCCAAAGTTTTCCAGTAAGTTACAGTTTTTTCCCAAGTTCTGATGGTTTAAAATATGACCAGTAAATTTTTCTAATATACATAATAAATTACACAATAATTACAATTATATATATTATACGATAAATATACATACAATATATTTATACAATAAATTACAATTACTAAATTACATAATTTATTCAATTCATCATATATTTAAATATGTTGGCATTATGTACAATTATGTAAAAAGAACCTGGTTTCGCAACAAGAACTACTTGTATGACTAATTGCCTGCATTCAATCTTCAGTTTGAAGCTTTATTTTTATTATTTTGATTATTATTTCTAATACTACATAGATTTTAGCAAAATTTGAAAGTGTTTAGCATGTTTAACACTTACAGTTTAAGATTCTAGTTTTTTAATTGGTTTTTAAATAAAATGTCTGTCTTGTGCTTCATTCACATTAATCAATCAATCAAGTACCCATAAAAGTAATTATTTATGAAATTATTTTAAAAAACAAATTAAGTGGTTTCATAATAGAGTTATATTATCATACATATTTAAATATGTTTGTTGTTTACTCAAAGAAACTACTTTTACTAAGCTTTCCATTGACGACCTCTTTGACTGACTTCGAACTACATTTTGAAGTTTGCTACTTGTTTTTATTATTATTAAACATCATTTATTAAGTTCATTTTCATCAATCGATAATCTAATACTCAGTACTGTAATTATTTGTTCAACTTTGTTTCAAATCAAAGTTTTTATACATGATCGTAAATATTTAATGTATTCAGTTTTTCTTCTATCATCTCATACAAATCTGCTTTTATTATATCTATTACTGACCACTTCTTTGGACTACATCAAAACTGTAAATTAAAGGTTGCTTGTTGTTTTATTATCATTTTTTTATGAGGGTATTTCAACTATGAAGTTATATGAACCTTCGGGGTGTCGGTTTTTTGGAAAAAAAAACAAAAACATTTTTTAAGTATGTCAGGTTCGAAGGGGCGTACGATGTAAGATCGACCATGATCTGTTAATAGAGCTTGTTAGGGGCGTCGGCAGCCGCAACGGTTTAGGCGTTGACACGGCGCTCATCACTGTAAGGTAAAGGTCCTGGGTTCGATTCCAGCGGCCCTGCATTCGAACCCGACATACTTGTCCAACCGCTTGAAATGACCAATGCACACGATCAACCGAGGGCCTTACTGCACTGGACCTCGACTGCCACCCTAACTTTTCATTAAATATCAGGACGAGGAAGGCACCTTGTCCATGTACTGTACAGGCGAGCCCCCAAGAGAAAATTGTGATGAGTTTTGAACCATTTTCAATCTGTAAAAGTGGACGTACTTCTTCGACGAGGAAAAACAAATAATACGGTTTTTAATATGTCATTACGTGAATCTCCATAGTCAGATTTGCCCAGTCGGAGTTTATTTTGATCTTATCTTAAAAAATGTAAAACGTAAAAAAATGTACGAAATTAACTAGCAAAGGGTGTTTTCGCTTCTGTAATAACTTGGGATCATTGCCACGCGTCTCATTTCAATGTGGACAGGCTGGATCCCAGGATCTTCCCCAACGTGCCAAAAGTAACATCTGTACAATTTTAAAATGGTTGCGATTGAATTGAAAAATATTTTTTTCCTCCGCTTGACATCCTAGTGGGACGGTTATAGGCTGAAAGCAAGTTCAAGGCTTTTCAACCGGGTTCGTGATGCGAAATCAATCGAGGGAACAATTAGGACAAAAAAATTCCAAACTTGAACCAAATCATTTATAAGTAACATTTAAGACTATTTTTAAATGTGATTAGTTATTTATATATAAGCATAAGTTATTTTAGTTAGTTATTGATACATGTTATTTTAGTTATTTATATATAAGCATAAGTTTATTACCAAGCTTATACTGTAAGAAGGAAAAATAAATTTGTAAATTTTTATTCGTTTATGGATTTAAAAAAATCTTATTAGTTATCTTGATGGATGAACTCTTTTTACAGTTAATTGACATTTGATATTATTTCTGTTTATACAAAAATATGAAAGGGGTTCTACCAATACCAATTTTTCTTTTTCAAAATCGTCGCACTGAATACAGAAAAATGGTCTTCCATCTTATTATAGAAGTTAGATTTTCGGAGTATGAAGTAAATGTAAAATCAGCACAGGTCCAAAGTCACGGTGGACGACGAGTTGGTCAAACGCCAAATGTAAGTTCAACAAGCCTGGATTGCTCATCTAATCGCATTGCTATTCGTCAAAAATAAATCTATTTCGAATGATATCAATGAGAAAATCTATGTATCAATCGTCAAACCATCGAAGCCAGTATTTTTTGTAAATTTGTATACGATAATAATAATCAAATAAGCCACCGTGGGATGTCATCGTGTATATATTGTGGATAGTTTTAGAGCAGACCACAGCCCTTTTCTTCTTTGCTGTTCTTTTCTTTTCCTTCCCCCTTGTAGTCGTACAGATACAAATAAATTAACTAGGAAGTTAGTATGGTTAGTTTTCATGCTGCTCCAGAGTACACGATATTTCTTGAAGTGATTGGGAAGAAGCCTCCCCATTCACGCTAATAAATTACATCATATATGAAACGTCATTCATACTGTCCCAGAATAATCTATATTCCTAGAACTAATTGGTAAAAAAAAACCTTCATTATGCTGATAAACTACATCACAGGCCAAAATTCATTCTACTGTCTCAGAGTAGACGATATTCTTGGAAGTGATTGTGGAAGAATACTCTACATTCACGCTAATAAATGAGATTCACATGCAAGATTTCATTCAAAATTTTACTCTGTACCTGCTATTCCTCGGATTGATTGGAATGAAGCTCCTCCATACACGCTAATAAATTAAATCACACAACCCAATCGAAATGCCTCGGGGTGATTTGCGATAACTTCACCCATTTATCTATGAGATCATCTTCAGGGCCAGGGAATTACAAACATTGTTTAAATTTAACAAATGCATGTAGGATGTGGAAAAAAGTGAATTTATGCAATGCAAAAATTTTTTTTTAAATATATTCAATCAAAGTATTTCTATTCACTCAAAGTGTTTGTTTTCTGAGTAGAAATACTTTGATTGAATATATAAAAAAAAAATTTTTTTTTGCATTGTATAAATTCACTTTTTTCCACATCCTACAAGTATCTGTTAAATTTAAACAATGTTTGTAAATCCCAGGCCCTAAAGATGATTTCCATAAAGATCGAAACGTTGGCACGATAAAGAAAATGTTTTTTGAAACCTACATCACACCAGACCGCACCTCACGATTTCTGAATAATCATAATTTATTAACCGTATTGAATAAAATTAATTAGGAAAGTTATGAAAACTAAACCTATGCATAGCACACTACTTGGTCCTAAGTTCTTACACTAGACAATATCCTGACCTAAGATTAATTTGCTTTTAATAGACCTCTTCATTCTGCTTGATGGGGACTTTCCTTATGTTAAGCTGTCATAAATACCTTAATTACTTATTCATTGTATTCTGTGTTTTCTATACTAAAGGATAAGAGTGCTATTAATTCAAATCACAAGGAAATAAATACACATTGTCGATGACGGTAGATTTTTTTCGTATTTAATATTTTGAAACCTCCAAAAAAGTAAAAATAATATGTTTCAATTTGTTCTGCCGTCTTTAATGAAAAAATTGTTTATTAACTTATGAATTATTTTATTTTAAATGAATGTCAGCAAGTAAGTCAATTGGTACGTTTCTTTATAAAGCTGCCGCTCTGAGTTGGAATGGGAATTTCTTTTTTATCCTCGGAACATTTCATCTTTGAAAGACATTTTTATTGTCAAATTAAAATATAAATTTGGGACATCTTCACTAAAACTTTGCAGGATAAAAGAACATTTGTCTTGAGCACTTCGGTAATGAAGTTAGAATAATTATTCTCGATGTTCACAGAAATCCATTAGATGTGACAGGTTTATTGACTTCGGAAATCGTTTGCCTTTCGGAATCTTAATGATTTCCAAATTTGTCTGTGGTAGGACGTCTCGATTGTAAATCTGATGTTTACTAATCGATTTTGTGTTATTTACAAAAACCTGCCATACTTCAGATGTGGATTTGCTTCTAATCAACTTAAAATCGAATAATCAACTCTGATATTCATCAGTATACAACAAAAACTGGAAACATTGTAGAAGTACGTATCCAGCGATAGAT